CTCCAAAGTGAACTTAAATTAATTTTTCCTGATCATTTCTTCCAAGACTCTATTAAAGCTAATATACCAAATTAAGCACTCTGAGATATTAGTTTAGAGTTTTCAACCTTCAACCGCCTATTCTTATCATTGAGTTTTATATATTCACTTCACAACTTAGCATTATAACCTTATATCTTGGATGAGTCTTGCAGAATATGATGTATCTCTTTTTCAAGATTGTGTATTTCTATTTATTTACATTGGCCATAAACATGTAAAAAAAAAAATTATATTTTTTGTTAGAGAATAGTTGCGATAAATAAAAAATGAATACGAAGGATATCGATCATTCACTATCATTAATTATAGATAGCGAATTGGAATGTATTTTATCTATCTAAATTAATAAATTATATTTTTTGACTTTCTTTTTTACCTTATAATAATAAATATTTATTTCTGTCCTTTTTTATCTATAAAGATCGATTTCTAATATTTTTTATCTATCTAAGAGTAAAAAATATTGGAAGGATTATGACTACATCATTTTTAAAAACCCATTATAAACAAAGTGTCACATTTTTGACTTCTGAGCAAATTGGAGAGATTAGATGTCTCAAAAATTAAGTTCTCGCATATATAATAGTAAGGGAATATCATATCAATAAAGATCATATTTATAATATATGGAATGATTGTGAGCACTTACAGCAAAATAGAAACCATCCCTTTGAGAAGCTTAGGAAAGCTTATTTCATCTCTTCGGAGAATGATTCAAAAGGTCATGCTAAACCGACTTGTAAAGTGCCTGATGAGTCAATTCCAAAAGAATTATCTAAGGTCATGGGGGTCTCTCTAGGACCATCACCTACCTCTCTATTCTTGACTTTGTCGAGAATGAATGTGCAAGAAAAGCAAAAAAAGAAAAAGAAACTATTAAAGTCTAAATCTATTCAAAATTCTGACTTACCTGAAATTTTGGTAGTAGGTTTCTGCCAAAACTTCTTACTAGATATTTCACATAATCTAATTGCTTCGATTAAAAAATATCATATAGAATCAGAAGAATCTATACATGAATCAGAAAAGCTCTTTGCTCTCAACACACTTCACTAAGCTAGAATATCTAGTTAACAGGAAAAATAGATCAGAGGTTTTTATTAATCTCAATTAATTTAGCTTTAAAAATGAGAGTATCATACAATATTTTTTCAAGCTCCTTATAGCTCATGTGTTTTTTTTTAATACATTATCATACCTTGGGAGTCCTGTAATATTAGTGTTCCTATGAACCGAACTGAAACCGAACTTTGGTCAAGTTCAGGTTCAGGTTCAGTTCAATCATGTTCAATAT